TTTTTGGCCTGTGGGACTCCAGAAGCAGCTGATGGGTACCGGCAGGTGAAGCGGCATCCGGCTCGGGTGGTCGCTGAGGGAAAAACCCGAGCGTGGGAGGAATTTAGTTAGGCCATGGAGAAAGATTGCTGCACGGCTTCGAGACGATTCTGGTCCACCATCCGGCGTCTCAGGAGGGGGAAGCAGTGCAGCACCAACACTGTTTATAATGGGGATGTTGTGCTGCTGACACGCCGGACTCGGCCACACAGGCCACCCCAGATGGCTGTAAGTCTGGTCCATCGCCTCCAAACCAAGAAGGAGACATTGTCTCCTCTCCAAGACCCATCGGTGTCCTGGTGGGTAAACTGGGGGAGGAGCCACACAGGAAAACAGGTTAGATGGTTTTATCACTGCTTTCATCATGTTGTATCGCTCTGTGTGCTCGTATTCCAAAACAAAAGTATCTCTCTCCAGGAAGAGGTTCTGAAACAGCATGGCTGTGCGCGCTTGGAAACTAATGGAGACACACTGCGTACAGGCGTGCTGGTGGAGATGGYGCTTTAGATCTCTACAGAGCTAACATGTACAGATCGTCCTATAGAGACTAATCAGTGCTTTAAATCACATTCATACACTGATGGGACAAACACATCAGAGGCAGTCGGGGTTCATCATCTTCCCCAGGGACACTTTGACATGTAACTGAATAGTGGGGAATTGAACCAGCTACTCTCTGACTTAGAGGACAACAGCCACAGCAGCCCCATGTAAGAAAAAGGTTGTGCAATAAAATTTGTTGTTAAGGATACCAAAATGTTTAATTTTTATTATTTATTTTTCACATTCTTTTTAAAATTTTTGTCCATTTCAAATAATTTCAGTGATTATTGTGGATTTTTCTTTCCTTGACAAAAATGTGCAGACAAATTTGTCCACATCTGCACATTCATTAATACAATTACACTAAGAATTTGACACAATTAAATTTTTGCTGAAGCTTCAGCAAAGTTCAGAATATGCCCTTGTTTCCACAGGTAAACGTGTTTAAACACGTTTGATTCAGGATCACTTGGACGTAACTTTTGCCATCACCAACATTCTCAGAGGTAAAACATCTTCCACCCATTCACCAACAGACTGGAACATCCTCTGCCACAAAGTCACTTCGTTTGTCGTTGAATCCATCCATGTCACTTCCACATCATAACTCCTCCCTGCACACAGTCAGCCACAGAAAAGAGTAGATGTTCAACATGAATGTGTTATACGTTATCACTCAGCACCAAAAGTAACYTTTAGATCTGAGAATAATTATTCATGTGTCTGAAATCAAAATATCTCATCAACCACTTGTCAAATTTCAATGAAGTGTTCCCAAAGTAACTATCAGAATCAATACCATGCAAGATGGTTGSCTCAGTCAACTGATCCTTTGATCTGTATTACTGGATTGGACATCACCTATAGCCACTATAGCGAATAGGATATGAATGATGCCAAAGATGTCATTACTATTCACTGAGTCATGTCAACAAAYCTATACAGTTTCAATGCAGGATATGCATCAATCTGTCACAAAAATATTTGTAGCGCCCTTATTTCTTATCCGATTTCTATAAAATATGGCTTAAATTAAAGCTGAGAAAATTGCGAATGCTGTGGTATGCAAAAATAGGTATTTGCCCAGGAGATAAATCTATAAGCAGTCTAGGAACCTTTCATTATATGGTTTTGTTAATGCATTGACTGTAGAAGCCCCTTTCTGCCACCTAAAACTAAGACTCATGTATGTCATAGTACTGAGACTCAATGAGAATTTAGACTTTCAGTCAAAATCTGAAATGATTGCTCTTAAAATGAAGTATCCTGTGAGAGAGAGAGAGAGAGAGAGAGAGAGAGAGAGAGAGAGAGAGAGAGAGA